TCGTTGGCTGACGCTGTCCCAGAGGCAGACGATGCGCCTCGTGGCGAATAGATCTCGTAGCAAAATCTATTTGAAAAACCTGCTGTGGCAATGTTAGTGTTCCGTTCCTCGGCCCGATTTGAGGAGATGCGCTCAGATGTACGTAAGCTTGGCGACTGGTATTTTCTAGGCCCTGAAGTTGGCTACAAGGCCTACCAGGGCCTGCCGCATGTTCATGGAGGGAGAATGATGCAGTTTCACACCGCAGGAAAGCCAAAAGCCTACAAACGAACATGAACCTCACAAAAAGCTTGGGCCCTACAGCTGATAAGCCCTGACCTTCAAACCTCAAAAACGGAGCGAAGCAGTTGTTCTGCAGTTGAAGGGTTTCTGGCTTGCGTGGATGGTCGGCTCGCCTTACTTCAGTTCTTACCCGGGTCCGATCCAGAATGGGCTCCCATCCAGGCGCCGGGCTCGAACTGCCGGCTTTGGAAGAGCTGGAAGAGGCCGAACCGCCTTCCCAAATGACACACCCTGGTGAAATTCTTGGTTGAGGGTTTAATTGCAGGGTGACGATCAGCCTCAAGAATATGGGTGCAGATCGTCAGCTTACAGAGTCTCGTGGATGCATAGGCTGAAAGCTTGGGATCCAGATCTCCACTCAGAATCAACTTGATACGATAAGTCGATGAAGGTTACCATCAGGTGAGTATATGGGATACTATCGCCTTCACGGGTTACCACAACGGCCTGGACCCTCAACTGCTTAGGCTCCTCCCTTGGCACGACGGCCTGGCAAAAGCCAACCCTCCCCAAAGGTCCGGCAGGGATTCTCGAGAATACTGCCTGCAGGGTGTGGGGGGAACTCTGTAATGAAAGCTTGCAGTCGGCTCACACAGATAAGCTTTGGTGCCAAGGAGACTCTGGGAATTCTGGATGTCAAGGCTTTAACCAAAGATTGCTGAAGTCGGGCTGTCGTAGTAAACTTCACTCTCGCTCAGGTCTTGGCAGACCATAATACGGATATTTGTTGGGGGTTACGTCCGAAATGCTCTAACAGTAAGGGGCGGTGATAGCTAGAGGTCTGGAAAAGCTCAAGCTTAACAACAGGAGCCGTCCGTGTCTGATACATGAAAGATGGCTTTCAGAACCTGAAAAGGGAATCTATAAGGGTTACTACCAGGTTATCATAAGGGTCTAGTAAAAAGGCTCTATGGCGCTGACGAAACGAAGGCCGTTGCTATGGAGCCCCTAACCGAGACTTGACTCGAGACTCGAAATCCGACCCAACAGAAAGACTCCCGTTACATCCACGGGCACCCTGGAAAAACTGACCTCGCTGACGTTTTCGCTTCGTGACACGAATTGCCGATATCAGAGCGACATTCGCCACTCAGAGCACTACACGGCAAACGTTGATAGCATGGGCAGCAGACGGTCATGCGCATTTGCAAGCGCCAGGTCCTCATAATGCATATGATCAGTAATAATCTGCTACGACAGCATGCCCACAGCATGAAATCAAGCCAAGCGTCTTCTGGCAAATCGCCTCTGTCGTTAGCAATGTTCTCCGCTCCGTACCCCAGGTACGTTCTGCACAGTGCATCATCCCCAACCAACGCAGCTGCGCCAAGTGGAGTCAGACCAGGCAAGCTCGCCAAAGTCTTTGTGGCGATCGAGCAGGATGCGAAGCCGAATATTTTCGAGTACATGCCCGCTAATCGGGCTGCAAACAAGAACTTGCTTTCGGGAAGAGCGCAGGCGTTCGGATCTGCACGGCCCTCCAGTAGCACCCTCGCAACATCCACTGCACAGGCTCTGCCTCGAGACAGCAGCGCAACTGCATGCAGGGGAAAGTAGCCTGCGCCAGTTGGCTTCGGATTAGGGTCGCAGCGTGCACGCAGCATTTCTGCGACGGTCTCTGGGCAAGACCACACTGCAGCACCGCAGATTGGGCTTAGCCCCATAGGTAGATGTGACGTATGAAGGTCTGCCTTGGCTTCGATGAGAACTTTGAGCTGACCCGGCGCTCGCACCAAGTAGGCACATCCCAGTCCAACTCTTGTCGTTGCTTGCACATCAGCACGAAGCTCGATGAGAGCCGACAACATTTCTGGATCTTGATGCGACTTGATGGCGGCCATAAGCATCGTCTGAGTGTCGGAGTAGCCCAACGAATTTAGACCCATCAGTCTACGATTCACATCTGCCTTGTGCTCCACGAGCAGTCTCACCATCTGAACGTCTCCGGCGAAAATGGCACAAAGGAGAGCATTGACGCTGCTTTCGTCGTTGACGGCATCCTCAGAAGGAAAAGAACCTATTGACGAGAAGGAAGCGGACTGGACAGTCGCAAGTGGCAAGGGTAAGCCTTTGGGACATCAAACAAGCCCTGCACCCTCTGCTTCATCCCCCGTCGCTATCGCTCCCGGCACCCTAAAGCGGCTAAAAGTGGATGGTGCGGCCCAGCTAAAGGCCTGCAGGCTCTCGTAGCGAAACATCTCGAGGAGGTCGTCCACCTCGAAGGTCTGTTTCTGCTGACCCAACAGCTTTGGGCGATGCGCCAGGTAGTAGCCTTGGACTTGGACTGCATTGTCAAACCCGAGAAAAAGGCATCTCACCTAGTTCTCCCCTTCGAGACGTTTATCACTGTTTCTGCTTCTAGCGTGAGAATAGTAATCATCAAAACCATAAAACTAACAGGAATAGTAACAAATATAAATAGCATATCATGGTAATAGTAATCATCTTCTTCTTCATCATCGTCAACAACCGCATTAAACGATTGGTATGGTAAGAGTAATAATAATGATGATGATACACATACTAGAGGTATTCATGCTAATAATAATCATCATCATAACAATAATCATAAGAAAGTAATCATAATCACAATAACAAAAATACTAATACTAGTAACACTGATAATAACAACAACAATGAGAATGACAACAATGACAATAATTCAATAACAATAGAATAATAGCACCGGTAGCAATAATAACAACAGTAACAACAACAATGACAATAGTAGTAATAGTTTATGCTTTGAAAAGAATACCAATTGTCCTATAGTCGTCGTAGTAGTAGTAGTCGT